AAGGTACTGTAAAAATCAACCGTGTCAAAAATGGCTTGCGAAAAGTTGAAGATTGCAATGGGATCATTACTAATTGCATCTAGCCAATTCAACTGAAAATTGATGAGACTTTGTTGCCAATCTAGTACTGCGCTTAAATTCATAAAGTAAGAGTAAGTAAAGTAATTTTGTGGTTCGGAATGTTTTTCATCTATATAATAAATGCGAATGTCAATGTGTCATTGTGTCATACTTTTTCAACTTCAAGGGACGCAACTCTCTAACTTTCAATAGCTCATTTCAAATGAAAAATTACTGTTCTCCGGTGTTTCAAAATAGAATTGTCCGTGTTTTCAACTTTACTCCTAGAGGTCATAGCCCAACATATATCATTTCAGGCCGACTCTGTGAGCAAATTAAAAACGTTCTGGGTCGGATCCGGACCCGCAATCCTGAAATTCTGGATTCCCAAGTTTTCATTACTGCGATTATTTTTTGGCGACTTTTTGCGACAATGTTTTTTTGTACGATAAAAATTTTTATAACTTGGAAATAAATTTGGGAATAATCGAAATTAATTGCGAAATCCAGCGAAAGTCGCCAATGAAATAAAAGTAATTGTATGTACGGAAAGTAAGGACCTACGTACATCAAATTGTCTTTGAATTAAGCGGCGACAGAAGAATTATCATTGAACTTTTAAAAGGTAAACTTAAATATTAATGCAGTACTTAAATGCAGCGAGCACTTTTGAGTTCTTCTGTAGTTTATTGTTGCCTATCACAGCTAATCCTCCTTATCTATTGTGATAAAAGCTTAATCGTGCCCTCCGCAGGAGCTAGCTTAAATGCTGCCCGATTGAGTAGCTTTTAAGCTAATATGTAACAAACAGGAGTTTATTAATAAAAGTGGAGGTCGAGAAATTATTTAAAGGGTTAAAATATTAGAATTTAAGTAAAGAATGTTTTTTTTTTTTTTGTGGGTAAAAATAAAAATAAAAATGAAACCGTATCTTTAAAACAATGTAGTGGAATAGAATCTTTCAACTCATGTCCTATAAAGCTATGCAAGTAAAAAGTTGAACCAAGTATAATAAATATTATTTCAGCTCTGGGGAAAATGCATGAAATTAATAAATAGATAATTCTTTATAAGTTTGAAGTGGGAGGGAACATTCTCAAAAAATAAACTTCCCCGCTAAGCGTAGGTAATCCTAAATTTTAGTTCTGTTTTTCTTGTCAGATGGCATTAGAAAGGTTTAGTTTTAACTGGTTTCATTCAAATAGATCGCTTCTTATTATGAAAGTTATCATATCAGTGTGCTTTTAATGAAAATTGTCAAAATTGGCATATTTAGTCTATTTAAGATTATTTAGCATAACGATAATAATCAAAGTTTTCACTATTCTACGATTCTTTTTTGCTTTTTAATTACGGTACAAAATGTCAGTCGAACGAAAAAAATATTTGCACAATTTTTGTATAAGGTACTGTAAAAATCATTCGTGTCAAAAATGGCTTGCGAAATTTCTTGCTGTAGATGATCATCGAGTTGAAGTTGATAATTACTTGGGAATAAACACCGTTATTCCAAAAGTTATCTAAGACTTCTTTAGGCTGGGTTTCTTTTTTCGATATAAATCAGACGAAGTTTAACAAACGTACCCGAAAAAAGGACATTTTTTTTCTTTTGATCCCGCTATTAATGTATACTCCTTCAGCAATTGTTATTGTTTCAAAAATTTATTTTTAGCATTTTCATACAACCCTAACATATGAAACTGGATTTATACATTTTCTTTGTTGAGAAGTGACAACAAAAATGTTAAACACTACTTATTTATCATTTATTTAGAAGAATAATTTCAAATTATCTGAATCAAATACAATTTTATTTTTTATTGATCATATTATAAATATAAAATTTTAAAATATAACATTTTTGAATAGCATTTCTTTCATTTTAATTTCAGTTACTTTTATCGCAATCATTAGTGTTTGAACATTAGTTTTAATATTATTTTGTGTATTTCATTAGATAGCGCCTTTTTAACCATTGTGAATTTTGTTACTACTATTTCTTTCATCTTAATTTTAACTGTTTTTTTTTCTGATTCAGAGTGATTGGGAATAAAAAATATACATACTGTGAAATTCAAACTAATGTTTCTTTTGTTTTAGAAATACGTTTTTCAGCAACACTTTCACTGCTGCATTGACATGGCATTGTCGTCTGGCTGTGCAACACTCGTCTGAGTAAAAAAGGAAATTGCCATTTAATGGAAATAAATACCTAAAAAGATGCTAACGCTGACTTCACTTAAGGAATACCATTGTTCTTAGAGCGACTGATGAAACATCCTTTTGATACGATCTCCTACATTGACAGTGATAGTGATATAATAGAATATGCATACACCTGAGTCCCCTCTAACTGGAATACGATTGGCTGGTGTCCGTCATAAATACAGACGACCCAGTATTTTCTGAGCGACTGTTCGGTTGTACTCTCTTCGTACGGACCGGAGGAACCCGAAGGAGGCTACGCCGAAGGGCGGAGTCTCCTTCGGGGAGGTAAAACCGGCCCTGAACCCGTTTATACGGGTTCAATGGGCATATTTTTGGCTGAGACCACGGGCTCGGAATGCCCACTTTAAAAAAGGCCTTGTGCCACATGACACCCTCGTGGGGTGTGACTGAATATCGTCATAAATACAGACGGACGTGTAGGTACGACAGAGTGTAAATTTATGACGACGCCCATTGGACTACGCCATTGGCTATTCTATTGATCTACACTTATTACCTGCGACTACGACGAGTACCAGTCGATTACTGATAAAGTGTACTACTTGGTTACAGTAGCCAAAACCCACTTAGCTACTTCGATCAAATATATCCCTTTCCGGGACATATCAGATAGTATAATGATTTCCAACGTGGGCGTTATCGCCGACATGCAAAACTTATAAGCTCTATGGAGTGTTATTGTGGGCTCTATAATTTTAACAGGCCCTTTTTTTTAATTCATTGCGCACCAAGAAAGGCAATAAAGCCACTAAGACACAAGGGGGTTACTGAGTGGGAAAGAATAAAAGAAAAAGGAAAACATTATTAAGGTGAGAGAAAAATAAAAGAACAGGAATTAAGAAGGCAGAAGATAAAGATTGGGGTTGCATTTAAATTTTTGAAGATCAAAGTACAGAAGTTCCATTACCAGGAATATGTGACACCGAAATACGAAGGCGTACTGGGATAGCGAAAGATGCTTTTCAAAAGCTAAGCAAAGTATTTAGAGACAGAAAATTTTCCTTAGAAACAAAGAAAAGAATACTGAACTGTTATGTAATATAAATCCTCCTATATGGCAGTGAATGCTGGCCAATCTCTTCGTAGAGGCTTGAAGCAAAAGAAATGTGTTTCTACAAAAGGATGCAGAGAATACCATGGACTTAATATGTGAATAACGACAAAGTTTCATAGAAAACGGAATCGAAAAGAACGCTTATAGCCAGAATCACAAAGAATAGAAATTTCTTGGACAGACGATTGGGAAAGATGGTTTGGAGAATATGATACTCACAGGACATTAATTAAGGTATAAAAAAATACAGGGGAAGGCAGTAGGCCATCAGCCAGATGAGTCTGGGCGGCAGAACGATGAGGGCGGCTGGCAAAAAACGGCAACTGTTATTAAGAGCTGCAAGGGTTAGGAAGTTGTGGTGAGCCATGATCGCCCGTGTCCTGAAGGGTGCCAGTAGATAGATGTAGAAACTAGAGTATTTAAACCATAAAGAAACTCTTTCCGAAAGAATTTCACACTAGTTGGAAAATCTGAATACTTTTTTCTCATCATATCATCCCAAGCAAAGCGAAAATGCGATAAGTACGCAGGGAGTTACAGGGAGCGAAAGTGAAAGAGAAGACTAAGAATAGGGAGTGAAAATGAGAGAAAAGACTCAGTATAGGGAGGATTGAGGAAAGAACAAAAGGAGAAAGAGAATGCCACTATTACGTAGGGGTTACAGGGAGTGAAAGTGAGAGAAAAGATTCAGTAAAGGGAGAATTGGGGAAAGGACAAAACAAAAGATGAACGGGATTCAAAAAGATAGAAAATGGCAATTGACGTTACATTTAAATTTTTGAAGATTGTAGTTATCAGGGAAGCAATTAAACGGAAGGGATTTCCACAGGTGAAAATTACGAGAAAATAAAAACTGATGGAGTAGAAGAAGCGGTTGCGTTTTGGTATTTCAACAATAAAAAGGTGGAGCCTAGTAGTCCGCTTAAATTCATGTAGTCGGGTCACTAGTGAGGGAAAAAACTCACCAGAGCAGTTCTCATGAAAATATTTGCAGAAAAGACAGAGGGAAGCCATATCACGTCTGTGAAAAAGTGACTGAAGTCAAGATGACAACTCAGGATCGATTACAATGCGGATCCTTCTTTTGAGCTTGTCAAGAACCTCGAAGCGAATAACAGGAGCACCAGACCAGCTATGGTAGCAATAGTCCATTCACAAGTAGACGGTAGATTTGTAACTGAGTAAGATAGACTCTGACAAGAAAAATCTTCTGGCACGACAAATCGATGTGTGGGTAGGGAAAGCTAGAATTCTGGAAATCTCAAAGGATTTTATTCCAACCAGAATGTTCGCTTTGTAGAACGATTTTCTTTTTTGTAACAATACCAAAATATATTAAAAGAGCAAAACTTTCTTTGTTTGGCAAAGAACAAAAAGAAATCTATTCAACACCGCATTGTTTGTTATGCCAAAATGAAGTGAGTTGAGGTCGAATGAATAAAAGAAGATTTGTTTTCCTTTTAAACTGTTCCGTTCGCGGCTGGTTACCTATAAAAATTGGATTGGGTTACTGCGAAGGTGTATTCCACGTGTGTGACCGCTTTTAACACGGCACTGGCAAAAGGAAACGAAACGAAGCCATGCTGAGCGAAGTGAGTGCGGAAACATGTCGTGCCAACGAAAACGGATGTTGGACGAGAAAGGGCCGTGAATTGTGTTAGCAACTGTGAGGTTTCTTCGGTTCTGTAGGCACGAAGAGAGGACGGCTGTCAAAATAGAGTAACGTCACAGTAGAATGCAGGGGGAACGTGAAACGGCAAAGAAACAAACAAAGAGGGCAAGATAGATAGATAGATAGATAGATAGATAGATAGATAGATAGATAGATAGATAGATATGAATAGACTGAGATAGATAGATAGATAGATAGATATGAATAGACTGTGATAGATAGATAGAAAGATAGATATGAATAGACTAAGATAGATAATGAATAGACTGAGATAGGTAGGTAGATATATACATGCATATATGCGAACATATACATAGAGTGATAGATAGATATGACCAGACTGAGATAGATAGATAGATAGATAGATAGATAGATAGATAGATAGATAGATAGATAGATATGAATAGACTAAGATAGATAGATATGAATAGACTGAGATAGATAGATAGATAGATAGATAGATAGATAGATATGAATAGACTAAGATAGATAGATATGAATAGACTGAGATAGATAGATAGATAGATAGATAGATAGATAGATAGATAGATAGATAGATAGATAGATAGATATGAATAGACTGAGATAGGTAGGTAGATAGATACATACATATATGTGAACAGATAGATAGAGCGATAGATAGATATGACTAGACTGAGATAGATAGATAGATAGATAGATAGATAGATAGATAGATAGATAGATAGATATGAAAAGACTGAGATAGGTAGGTAGATAGATACATACATATATGTGAACAGATAGAACGATAGATAGATATGACTAGACTGAGATAGATAGATAGATAGATAGATAGATAGATAGATAGATAGATAGATATGAAAAAAAGACTGAGATAGGTAGGTAGATAGATACATACATATATGTGAACAGATAGAACGATAGATAGATATGACTAGACTGAGATAGATAGATAGATAGATAGATAGATAGATAGATAGATAGATAGATATTAACAATCCTCAGATAGATAGATAGATAGATAGATAGATAGATAGATAGATAGATAATGAACAGAGTTAGGGAACCCAGAACAGACAGAAAGCGAGAGAAGAGAATAAAGAATAGGAAAGATAATTGAATATTAAAAAACAGAACGTAGCGAAAATAGATACTTTCTGAGAGAACAGAATGATTTATGGCATTTGGCAATGCAGAAATTCTTCCTTTCTGCCTTCTCTTTAATCGACCAATATTTCGAGCTGGTATATCTGCCTTTGTTTCTTCGAACAATGCATTCTGGTCCGTTGATCTTTCCGTTTACCCACTGCTGTATGAATTGTTATCTTCATAACGATCTATCAATTCTTCCCACGCTACAGAAAAAAATACAAAAGATGAGTAACCTAAAAGCTTCCTTCTGTTTTTGCCATTAGATGGCATTAGAGGCGTTTAGTTTTAACTGACTTAATTCAAACTATTAAATTGAACAGTCATCTCGGCTTCAGTCACTTTCTCACCGCTGTAATGTGGCTTCCCTATGCCTTGTCTATAAATATTTTCATGGTAATAATTTTGCTGAATCTTTATCTATAAAAAGAATACCCGCTCGACCCGGTGGCTAGGATCAAAGTGTAGTATCTGCGCTTTGTGAGCTGCCGGGTCGGGTGTCTGTCGAACTCTCTGCTTGCAGAGAGGAACCCGGACGAAGCTCCGCCGAAGGGTGGGGTTTCGTTGGGGGAGGTTGACGGAACTGGCCCGCCTCGGCGGGTTTGAATGGTTATTTATTTTTGGCTGGGCCTACGGGCTCAGAGATACCCACATTAAAAAGGCCTTGTGCCACATTCGATCCCCGTGGGTGGATTGATAAATACCATCTTTCTTTCTGTTACCAAAATATTATGAATTTAAGTGCACTAATAGTGTCGTGTCCGCTAAAACGTCTAATAAAATATTTCATCATGATTTAGGTAAATACTGCCAAATTTTGCGCGGACATAATAGAAAACGTACCACGTGACTTTTTAGGGACAATTAGGAAGAAATAGATAAATATAATCCTTTAGCCGATGTTCTTACGAAAAAGTATATAAAACTCACGAAGTCCGTCCCCAAACATGAGACACACAGATGTCACCAAGGTCCACGTCACTCAAGCTGCTTATCTTCAAAGAGCCCATTCACGTCCATGCGCAAAAAGCTACTGCGCTGACAAAGTGCAAAGTGAGCGCGCCAAACTACGGCAAAACAGATCCCAGTAAGAACTAAATTCTACCTCTTGCCTCGTTACAACTAAGCACGCACACACGTACTGACTCTTTTACACAAATACGCATATAACAACATTTCACTGTTTCTCACATACGTTGACAAGCTGAATTTATATTCTATTCCATAACTTTATTAACCAAAACAAAAAGACATTACTTTCAAATCCATAACCAACTACTTCTATACTTGTCTTTATATTAAATTAATTTTTATTTGACGATACTACATAGTCTTTTTCTACTGTATTTTATTCTTTCAATGAAAATCGTGAGATTATTCTAAACAGCTGAATTTCGAACAGTCTCACGATAATATTTTGTTATTGTATCGAATCCCAACACTCCGAATCTTGACATTTAACAAAAGTCCTATTAGAAGGGGTGCTACAGCAGATCAGCAGCTAGACCTCATCATTTTACAGTTCAAATAGCTAGATGTAACCGTAATTTCTATGCTGACAGTTTCTTCTCTCGAACTTCTTACTTGTGAAACTCTCTTCCAGCTTCTTACTTTCTAGTTAGCTTTGATCTTCATAAATTTAGCTGCAATGTTATCCTATGTTTTCTTAATTCCTATTCTATTATTCGCTTCCTTAATGATGTTTTCTTCTTCTTTCACACCCAGTAACTCCTTGCGTCTTAGTGTCTTTATTACCTTGCTTGGGGTGAAATGATTAAAAAAATCATTAACAATAGAAGAAAATAAAAAAAAAAGAATTCTGCAGGATCACTCTCCTTTTATTTTTAAGAATGGCAAAAATATGGATAAAAAATACTTTTGCAATATATGAAGAATGTTATGTGTATATTCTAAATTCTCAAAGATGGTTTGAAAAGTTTCAAAGAGGCACAGTGGATTAATGGATAGCGGCTTGGATTGAGGAATCGAAGAGCCGAGTTCGAATTCCAGTCGAATCCATTACATTCACTTACGTGCTAATACCCTTGGGAAAGGTGTGAATCCTCTTTCTTCTCCCTCCAGCTATGGGTAAATAGCAGGACAGACTGGGTTCTATAGCCTTGGATGGCAACTAGTCTAGGAGAAGGAAAACTCTGAATTCAAACCTGCTCTTAGAGGAGGGTGAATGGAGTCTCTCTCTGAGCCTTGGTTGGCAATCCATTTAGTGATGGTGTCACGATAGAAACACCCTTGATAGCCCTAGCGAAGCATCAAGAATTCAGCTATTTGACAAGATTATGAACTACACCAGTCAAAGTATTGGTGAGTTCAATCTCGGCCGATGCCGCAAGATGATGATTTATCACTGAACAATATTCTATCGTCAAGACGACCAGTTAAGGTTGATTTTGATCAAATCATGGTATTAAATTAACTTTGTATAACTGGAGAGATCGTAAATATATTCAAAATATTCAAATCAAGTGCCGAAAATTATTTGACCAGGTTATGTTTCTACTGAATCAGTGACTGACAGTTGTTTAATGTCTATTAAACTAATCTTGTGATCTAAATAGATGTGCTGACACAGTTTATTTCGCCTTCGCCGGCACGGTACTTTACGCAGTTATCTAATACGGCACGTTTGTTATTTATCTATATTTATGAGATGAGGTATTGTAATTACTTACACTATTTACTTTGTTCGGCCTGTTGTCCTCATTTTTGTTGTCATATTCACAACGTTTCGGCTGTTGTACGCTGCAGACTTCTTCAGGATATGTCTATATTTCTGAGATAAGGTATTGTAACTATTTGCACTACTTACATGGTTCGGCCTGTTGTCCGCATCTTTGTTGCCATATTCACGACTTTTCAGCCGTTGTACGCTCCGGTCTTCTTCAGGATTTGTTTATATTTCTGAGATTAGGTATTTAACTATTTACATCATTTAGATTTTCGTCTCCCATCTTTGTTGCCATGTTCAAAACGTTTCGACGCTGCAGCCTTCTTCAGGATCTGTCTGTATTTCTGAGTTCATGTATTTTAACTATTTACATTGTTTGTACGGTTGTTCCCATCTTGTTGTCATATTCACAACGTTTCGCCCGTTGTACGCTGCAGACTTCTTCTGGACCTGTCTATATTTCTGAGACGAGGTATTGTAACTGTTTACACTATTGTTCGGATTAATGTCCTCATCTTTGTTGCCACATTCACGACATTTCGGCCGTTGTACGCTCCGGCCTTCTTCGGAATTTGTCCATATTTCTGAGATGAGGCATTTTAACAATTTACACTATTTACATTGTTCAGATTAATATCCTCATCTTTGTTGACATATTCTCGACGTTTCGGCTGTTGTACGCTCTGGTCTTTTTCGGAATCTGTCTATATTTCTTAGATGAGGTATTTTAACTATTTAAACTATTTACATTGTTTGGATTATGGTCCTCCCCTTTGATGCCATATCCACGACGTTTCGGTGGTTGTACGCTCCGGCTTTCTTCAGGACCTGTCTATATTTCTGAGATGAGGTATTGTAAATATTTACACTATATTCATTGTTCGGAAATTTGTCCTCATCTTGGTTGTCATATCCACGATGTTTCGGCGGTTGTACGCCCCGGCCTTCTTCAGGATCCGTCTATATTTCTGAGATGAGGTATTGTAACTACACTATTTACATTGTCCTGTCTGATGTCCTCATTTTTGTTGCCATATTCACGACGTTTCGCAAATATTCTATCCTTAGAAGGATTAGTTTGTTCAAGGAATCAAAGATTGCCGGCGGGACGTTTTCATTTGCAAAATTCCCATCTGCGTGACTATTCTAGGTGGTGCTTGTATTTGGTACAAAAATCAACTGTATTTCAGTAATAATGAGTTTCACTACAAGAGTAAACAATAAAATCATAACAACTAAAGAATGACTGCACTAAATTACCATGAATTTGTTCAATATATGGATTGATACGTTTGTTTGTTTGTTTGTTTAACACCATATCGACTCCTCTACGGGTGATTACATTTTCTGTGTTCAGTTTTATTGTTTCAACTAAATATATTTTGAACGCAATTGTATGACTTCAACTACATATAAAATATATTGTTGGTCATTTTGCTTTAAAAAAATTTAATATAAATAGGTATTGTTCGTAATTTTACTATAAATAGGTGTTGTTCGTAATTTTACTATAAATAGGTATTGTTTAGAATTTTTTTCATATAGAAACGTATTGCCGTTAATTTTATTATGAATATGAATTTCTATATTTTCATAGTGTTTGGTTTTTGTTTGGGATTTACTATTTGCCCATAGCTGTGACCCTAAGATGTACTATCACCCCAGGCCAGGGTGGACATGGAAACAACAGCAATTAGGAGGTGGTTCCACGCACCTCAAAACCTCCAATCTCCCGATCAGAGGCCTTGCTGCCGGATGTAGTTTATCGTCATACTCAGGAATCTTTTGAATGTACTAGACCTAGCATGGGCAACCTTTTTCTAACAGTGGGCCGCATGAGACAGAGTTCATCATAAAGCCTGCAGCGAGACTAACAAAAAAGAAACAAGGTAATTTTTCATTAAAGTTACCGCAGCCATTTTCCCCACCAAG